CGTTGCTGATAACGTTGTAGCGTGTGACGGCACTTGTACGCATGTTTAGTTGTAGAAGTATTTGATCGACGAGAAGGACTTACGAAACCGAGTACTCGCTTCCTAAAGGTCCTCGATGAGTGTTCGCATCAGCAAACTGAAGAGTGCACTCAAGGTCGTTGCTTTCACAGAAACCTTCATTATAGTGTCCATACAGGAACTGAACACTCCACTGGGGTTGCGTTGAATTTCTGTATGTGTACCCCTCGCCGCGTATTGGGGCACATTCGTTAACGGTTCGATAGAGAAATCTTGAGGAAGGTGGCGAATTGATACCTAGATCAGAGTGACTATTCAGGAACCCAGAATCCAAACGGAGGGCCGCTGTCGGAGAATGACATATCTTGCTTTTGCCCGGGAAGGGGCAAGAAATGCCAGTCGTGACCGTCACAGGGAGGGTATCTCGGACAAATTTGCGGCAGCTATCTGCTGACCCCGACTTCCTATAGCAAACTGACTCATAGTTGGCGCTTGCTCTGGTCCTACTGGCAATATACGATTGAGCTACGCGGTAGTTTTGTCCGGTGAACAGGGAACTGTTCAACGTAGCACACCTGTCACCAACGAGAAGAACCTCGCCACCCCTCGTAGTGGCTACTCGCGAAGAGAATACTCCGGCTGTGCTGAAAGCGCAAAAGGTCGCTAAGCTGAGGACTAGTGGTAATGACACCGATCTGAGTAAAGCGGGCGGAACCACCACCTTCCGCCAGGCCCAAGACATTCTTGATAGTCTCCAAAAAGCCGCTGTACTGGTCTCGGAGTTGCGAAGTATCGCTTGCTTTTGGTGGTATAATGCACTTTGTGGTATCTTTCGACTTATGTTCTGATGGATGGCGAATGAGACGATGGTCCAGAAACAGGTTCCAGTAAACGTAGTGAACAGCGCAAGGAAAGCGATGAGCAGACCGCCATTTTGAATAGTAGTCGTGAGTGTGAGGCCGGCTATCGAGCCATGAGACCAATTTGTCCAGACTCCAAGGTAAACTGACTCGTATTCGGATGCCATGGTATCTAGGTGACGTTTTAGGGTGACAAATATTATCTTGGAGATGTACAATAGATATACAGGGTCTTGTTAACGATTGGAAGTAGGTTATTGGTAATAGTATGCAGTGTTTTTGTGGAAGGTATGTGTCTAGCTATCGAAGCAGATTGTAAAGAGTTGTGCATCGCCAGAACACGATAAAGTACGCAATGCAGCTCATAACTTTGCTACCTGCTGTCTCTTCTATATTTAACGGACGAGATAGCGTCTGATAGAGCGGTTGCGCGAACACACTTGTCGTTAAGATGCTTCCACGGTGTAGAACGAACCATTGGAAAGGTAGAAGCGACTTGCAGCGAGGCGCAGTTTGTTGCGATGATAGCATTAGCTGTATTGGGTAGTAGGCCAGAGCTAAGATCATAGGTTTGTGCTCTTCGAAGTGGGGGCGGGGAACGCGGAGAGATAAGAGGACGAAGGCACAAGGCTAAGCAGCGAAAGTCTCACTGCTTTTCCCACACGAAGATACAGACGTCAACTGTATGGGCTACATATTCCACATTACCTGCGATTTAATGCAGTGGTAAATCTTGGGAGGTTTCTTCACCGCACAATTCCATCGAGTTTCAGCTCATGAGGTTCAAAGGCCTTGGACACCGTGGCAATGGCGCCTGCGGATGGGTCAGCCTTCCCTGGATACACAGCATCATGCATATTATTATAAGCTATGCTGTAACACGAAGACGGAGGAGGAGTCGACACATGCACGAAAGGTTGATTTAAAATAGCCCCAGAGAATGAAAGGGTGCTCCCATGAAAACAATACTGGCATAGGGACCGTCTTCATTTGGGGGCTGAAAATTAGCAAACCATGGACTGATACCGAGAATAGTAGATCTGCGAATGTTGTGCGACAGCCGACGGCCTATCATACCGCAGATAGCGCAGCTACCAAGGCTGCACACCATCCTTGTTGATAACTTTGCCGCTATCTTCGTCTCTGTTCCCTTCCACAACATCCTTGATGAACACGCCCCCAATACTTGGGTCGCCCGCACCCCATTTCTTCAACATTTCCGGCCCCATGCCTCCCAATCCCGTAGCCAGAAATCCGGGGCTGATGCCAAAGACCTTGACACCATCGACGCTAAGGCTTTGTGTCCAGTCTAGCATCATCATGTTCATCCCAGCCTTGCTGGAGCGATAAGCTGTTTGGGCCATGGATGGTGGCTTGGGCCAGCCCTTTGGTGGCGGTGCGTTCATGAGCTTGGAATTGAAGCTACTGGAAGAGGTTTCGAGGGAAGACAGGCCAGAAGTCACGAAGAGAAGCCTAGGGTGCTTGGAGGCTATCAACAGGGGTGCGAAAATATGGGTCACTACTTGGGTGGAAGTGACGTTAAGGGAGTAGCTTCTGTCCCAAGCTACGCGGATGCCTTTGGGGCTAGGGTCCTTCCGCATAACGGCATCAAAAGATCCGCCTACCACACATCAGTCTACTGCACTGCAGAGAATAAAGGAAATATATACCGGCATTGTTGACCAGCGAGTCAAGATGACCATATTTGCTCTCTATGTTCTTGAAAGCGTTTTCGATGGACGCATCGTCCTCAATGTCGATCTGAACGGGGACGATATCTGATTTGGACTCTGAGACTTCACCTTTAAGCTTGGAGATGGCATCGTCGGCTTTTTCGAGAGAGCGGCTACCCATCAGGATGGTGTGTGGTTGTGGCGAAGCATAAAGAGCCTTTACGGTCTCGTAACCAATGCCAGTGTTGCCGCCCGTGATGAAGACGATCGAAGAGTCGGCCATTTTGGTTCCGATGTTGTGATGCTGGCTCGAGTATCGACACAAGTATATATATTCTTGCGAAAAGTGTCACCGTTGTTTCGTTGTTGTCAGCTTTGTCCCCTCTTTATACGTAGGCAGCCGAAGAACCTCATGGGCTTCCTCGCCCGGAGTTAGGAAGGCGTCGCCCGGAGTTAAAGCCCCCCCGCATCGCGCTCAATCACTCCACGCGTGAGCTTGATACCTGCATTGAGAAAAATATCGATACGCAAAACGTCACTAGTAGATGTGATAAGTCGATCGCACGGTGAGGTGATGACGTTGCCGCCGACATGGATGTTGGACAGCTGGCAATCCGCGATCCCGGAGTTAGCACTGTCCATAGCACTCCATTTGAGCAGCGCATTGAATCGTCTATCCACTGACAAACCAGTATTTAAAACGGACTGTATTAAGAATACACTGAGGGTGATTGACTTGTTTCCTACATTACTACCTGCGATTGAAACATCTCATGTTGGAAAGAGTTCCCGAATGACCATACCCTATGTAAACGACAATCTACATCACGCGCGCGTAGAAGGCACAAGGCCAGGAATTGAACACAAACATTCAGCAGCCACAGCCTAAAAAATATACGATCAAAGAGATGGCAGGAATTCAGCTGCTCACCTTCCGAGTGTCTAAACAGGCTCATCCATTTTGATGACTTCCGTCATTGCTGAAATTGCTGATAAAAACGACCAGGACGGCGCAGTATGCGGCACTGGCCGCAAAAAGCTCGTGGCGCTTCGCTTTTGTGAGCAAGCTCATGGCGGCTGAAAACAGCAATGTGAATACAACCAGGATCCCAACGGCATCGAAGGTGGAGTTACGATCACCCACCGACGTCAGCTTGTACATGGCGACAACCGGGAGTACCAGGAGGATGAAGATGATGAGTGTGATGATCAATCCGACGAGCTTCTCAATCCGAGACTGCGAATAGTAGTATAGACATTTATCATCTGTCTTCTCGCGGAGCTCCTTGGTCGCGAACAGTTTCTTGATGACAGGTTAGTCACGATGAGCAAAGGTATCGTAAAGAGCGGATATTACCTGAGTGAGAGGACCATGCATCTTACGTATGCACGTCTCAACCAGTCCGTCGAACCCGGACCACTCGCGGCCATGACGCAGCGAGACCAGGTCCTCACGACGCTTGATGAAATCTTCTTCAGGCTCATAGTTCAGCGGCTTGACGTTCCAGAACCAAGTCCGAAAGCTATGGTAGTCCCGGTTTGATGGCCGTTGGAAGGCGTTGAGATCACGGGCTTTGGCGAGTATATCGTCTGGGAGAAAGTCAGATCGCCACATCAATGCAGAGTAGTTGGTGGAGAGGTTACATACCATATGTGACAAGCTTGTGCTGTATAGTGCTTATGAGACCCTCCCGTACACTTTGCGTCTCCTCCCTCCTGGCTTGCTGGAGGTCGTCTTTTCGAGACATCAGACGAGCTCCATCCCCATTCTCCAAGTCCATCTCATCGAGATCTGTCAGCTGCTCCTCCAAACTCCGAAGTTCATCTTGGAGTTGAAGTATGACGCGGGCATGCAAATAAGTGAAGCCGCGATATATCGACCAGCTAGATTCACTTGATTGGAATGCGGCCTGGAGAGGGTACCCAAGCGAATAGCTTTTTACTTCGCACGATTAGCAAGACTAGATATCCGCAATCATTCGTGAAGACCTACGAGGTATAGTTTTAGTGCTGCGTATCTCCTTCTCCACCTCCGCTGGTGAAAGTTCGGATTCTTTTGAAGTCAGCGCAGTTAGGGACTCGATACTGTGGATGCTTTACCATGAAAATCTTCTGGTTTGGCGTCTTCAATCGGTATCGATATGTGCCCCGAGGATTGCGATTCGCTGCAAAGACTCGACTTTTCCAAACCGCTCCTACCTTGCGAACTCATCTTCGCTTCTGCCAGTGTAGTTAAATACCAGTTGAACGTGTCATCACAAAACTTTGATTAGAAGAAAGTTGTAGCAGATTGACTGCGGCAGTTTTCCGCTTTAATAGGTATGTTTGCTACGTGTTGAAGGACAACAGAGGGCGCACAGCTTAGGGCTGAGGCAGCCAACCGGGATACCTGATTACTGTGGCGCATTCTAGGTTCTTTTAGGCAAAATTGAAGAGACCGAATCATATCTCATGTCGGCTTGAGCTTGTTCTCCGAAAACCAGTTTTCACCTTCACTGTACAGCAGGCCTTTCCTGTCCTTCAACTTGTACTGCCATCGACTCTGGTGATAACGACGCTCAGAAACGGTGAACGCATCGAATTCGACACGCGTCACCTCTGTTCCGTCGATCATCACACGTTTGCTCACCCTCATGTTGACCTTGTCGTCTTCCTTGAAGCCTGCCTTGCGCTGATGGAATATGTCAGTGGCGCTCACTTTCAATTGAGCGAGCTCTGCGTACCCTATTGGAATCAAGATTAGTGATCGCCACCGACTTGCTCTGCTCGCTCTCGGGAATATCGTTCTAAGCACAGGTGGAGACCACCGGTCAGTGTGAAGCGCTCTAGTGATGACGATAATGAGGCTTTACCTGATCTGCCATGACCGGTCAATTTCTTGAACTCGATGGCTAGGCGTAATTGTTAGGTTCGGAATACAAGAAATCAGGCTGAGCAGCTGTAATTCGGGCGCAGCCGGCCTCTATTTAGACTGAGGCTCCCAAGGCATACAATGAGGAAGGCTGTGCAATGACAAACTCTATTTGAGCGAACTCACCGTTCCCCATATGCCATCTTTAAGCCTCATATCACATGTAGTTCAGCTGAACGATTGTCCGCATGACAGTTTGGTGGGGTCGGTGCGTTGTGGTTGGAGGACATATTTTGTGGCACAAGGGAGCGCCCGCTCAGCTTTGGGACAGCCAATGGATGAGCAAGCAGTCTGATAAGCAGTTCTCAGGCAAACATGCGATGTTGGGGCCGGCAAACGCCAACGTAAGCTGTCTCTAGTTGTTCCAATTCGTGTTTGCACCGCCGCTGGAGGTCCTTCAGAAGGAATCACAGCGACGAACGCAACGATAGGATAACATAAGAAGGGCGCCTCCTGATGGGTAGCCCTACAATCAGTAGTCTGATGTATCACCTGAGATATGGCTGCGCAACTTCAGTCAACTGCACGACCTGCGCATACCAAGACTACCGAGCCTTGCCAGAGCCCTAAGCCAATCAATCCTTCCCGGCAGAATTCTATCGTGGTACCAGTCACTGTTGACGATCTCACCTTCCTCGACCCGGGTGACGAAGAAGCCAAGAGGGAGCTGAACCGCGAGGCTGAGCGGCGCACATTGTTCCAAAATGTGTCGAATGGTGTACTTCAGATACCCAATGGTTATCGCAAGGTTGAAGTGCTGATAATACGTTGGGATGAGAGTGTCGACGAGTTCAAAGGCCACGAGCAAGAGGTGAGTCTGCGCATCATTCGAAGAAAATTGCCTAATTAAAGCGGCAGATTGGTCTCCTGAGAACGATTTTCACAACTGGCTTCGGGTTCGGATGTACCGTGAGAAGAATTCGGAACAGCCGGAATCCGCAGATCGACCTTAACCACCATATATTGACCCATGTGCACGAACACGACGGCGAAGACAATCTGCTGATTGTATACTACACGGGCCATGGTGTCCGTATCGAGGATGACAAGGGCTGCAGTCGACTGCAGTTATCTGCGTAGGTAGCCTGAGGAGTTCCAGCATTCGGTCATTAACACGTAGCAGGTCACGAAATTGGGATGAGAGCAGTGGCCATGCTTATGCTCCTACAGCATTCTGGGATGAAGCAGAAGCACCTCTCAAGTTACACGCAGCAGCTGATACACTAGCTATCTTGGATTGCTGCTCCGCGAGTACTGCTGCTGTGACCCATAAAGGCAGAAACGAAGAATTGCGAAACTATCAGTTGTTAGCGGCTTCTTCAGCAGACGAGTATACACGTGGGCCAGGACAAGAATCTTTTACTCATGCATTGTGTGAGTCGCTTCGCGAACTCTTATTCGAAGCAAAGGGTGGAACATTTCCAGTCATCAAACTGTGGGAAAGAATCAACACTAAGAGAACAACACAGGCCGCTCTGATGTGGGATCGCTTACAGCGATACAAACGTAATGTGGAGCTTGGACGACTCGATCCAAATCCAGAACGGGACGAGTCTTTTCGCAACGAAGAACCGGAAAAAGCCTCACTTGTTTTGCGCTTCTCGCTCAAAGAAGAGGCGCTCGGCAACTCTCAGGTTGAGATGCTTGCCCGACAGTTGCCCGCAGTCTTCAAGGAGGCCGGGGTTCTTGTGCGGCGAATGGAGTACGTGGAGCTTGAGCGACGAGACGATGCAGCGAAGGCTTTCCGCGCCGAACCTGGAAGACGGTATGATCCAGCGAAAGCTTTCCGTAAGGTAGTTCACCAGGTACAGGAAAACATTTCCAGCGACAAGATGGGTCATGGCGAGCATGAGAAACAGTCTGCGACACTTGAGCCAAGGAAGCGCAAAAGCTCGTACTCAGACACGCTTCTGGCACCTAAGAGAAATGCGAGAGAGAGCTCGCTCACGTCAGAGGAAGCCACCGATTCAGGCTTGTGCACGCCGCCGAAGAGACATACAAAGCCGGGGTCTGAGGCTCATAAGTGCTGAGGGATGTTGAAGGTACTGTGGTTGCATATTTTCATTGCCAGGGCTTGATCGAGCCTCAAGGGCGTCTGGAAGGTGCGCAATCCTTACTTCGAAGAATGTATCTGAATGCGCAATAGATGGAAGTCAGGTACTCTAGATAATGGAATGTCAATGGTTGACGTGTGTACCTGGGCAGCGACTAGGAGGAAAGCGTGACCTCGTGACGGATGATCTACGCGCTTGGCTGAAACAGGACAGCTCCGCCGCTATCTCCGCATCATCGCGTCAACCCAGCCACCGTGCCGGCTGCCATAGACGTTATCACAGCTCTTGCTACCATCTACACTCCAGCAAACATGAAGTCAACGACGATCTTACTACCTCTGTACACTGCAGCCCTTGCAGCTGCAGTTTCGCATCCCAAGGACCCCCAGGCGGTCCTGCAGGAGCCGCAGCTTACTATCATCGAGCCAGACGAGTATCTTATCGAGCTGTCTCCGGGCGAGACAAGATGGGTTACCGAAGATGAGAAGTGGGAGCTGCGTAAGGTATGACATCCCAGCACCGACAGCAGATAACGTGGAGCCTACCGCTGACACGATGCAGCAAAACATCAACTTCTTCGACATCACGCACAATGAAGAGCTCGGCACGCTCGACCGCCGGTTCAAAGCCGAAAGCGTCAAGTTCCCCGAGAAGCCTGTACACAACGAGACCATTGTTCCTCTGCTCAAGAAGCTGGAGAAGAACAACATGCGCGAGCATCTCGAGACCTTCACCTCGTTCCACACGCGATACTATAAGTCCAAATACGGAGTCGAGAGCTCGGCATGGCTTCTTGGCCAGGTCAACAAGACTCTCGCGGATGCAGGCGCTGTCAAAGCCTCCGTGAAGGCGTTCCCTCACCCATGGGGCCAGTCCTCCATCATCGCCACCATTCCTGGCAAGAGCGACAAGACAATTGTCATCGGCGCTCACCAGGACAGCATCAACCTCTTCTTCCCAGCTCTCCTGGCCGCCCCAGGCGCCGACGACGACGGCAGCGGTACCGTAACTATCCTCGAAGCCCTGCGCGTACTCCTCAAGTCGGAAGAGATCCTCAAGGGCGAAGCAGACAACACAATTGAGTTCCACTGGTACTCTGCTGAGGAAGGAGGCCTCTTGGGATCGCAGGCCATCTTCCAGTCCTACGAGAAGGAGGCTCGCAAGGTCAAGGCTATGCTTCAGCAGGACATGACCGGCTACGTCCAGAAGACGCTGGATGCGGGCGAGCCTGAGTCTGTTGGTGTCATTACTGACTTCGTTGACCCCGGTCTCACCGAGTTCATCAAGAAGATCATCACTGTCTACTGTGGCATTCCGTATGTTCTGACCAAGTGCGGTTACGCTTGCTCAGATCACGCCAGTGCGTCCAAGGCCGGCTACCCGTCAGCCTTCGTCATTGAGTCCGACTTCAAGTACAGCGACAACAAGATACACACAACCGAGGATAAGATTGAATATCTGAGCTTCGACCATATGCTTCAGCACGCGCGTATGACGCTTGCTCTGGCGTACGAACTTGCTTTTGCGAAGTTCGACTAGCGGCGATGAAATAGGATAAGGTTTACTTCCCGCCGTCGACATGGATATTTCGTAGTTATTGCACGAACAGCCAGCGGTTTTGCAGTCATGAATCAACGTATTGTTAATGATCCTCCAAAACATCGAGCACTCCATGTGGTGTCTATGCATGCGTCTGTCGCTGCATATGTGATTCGGCGTAGGGCGTGCGCGCTAACACAATGCCCTAGTGGTGACCTGTTTACCCTCATCCCGGAGCCGCGTCCGCATGGCTAGGTGAGATATCCGAACGGACGTTGCTTTCCCACTTTCTGATCTTTCTCGGTCTGGCCAAACACATCCCCAGTTTCTAGATACTATTCACACGTTGTCGTGGTCACTACTTCAGACGAACAAGATGAGTGCATGCAGGTGCAAGCAGAATCGCCAGAAGGAAGATGTATGGCGAACGTACCAACAATTACAAGAGTACCTAGGTACGCTCTTCCCTCCACCTTGGCGAGTACATGGATTGATCTACAAATAGGGCTATGCAACAGACAAGTTCCATTAATAAAAAGCTTCAAGAATTGAAAAAGGAAAGAGTGCGGCTTCTGGTCGAGAGGCGTGCTCTATACGCGAAGTACGTGGAAGAATGCATTGTTTTCGCTCTCAAACGTACAACACACTAACGTATTCCTCCAAGGACGTCGCGAGCCACTGTAAGATCTCACAGTCGAGCTTGGAATATGGCCTTCTGCGATGAGATGCAACGTCTCTTGCCACGTGAGATACGCGAAATGATCTATGAAGAGCTCTGGAGCGCGAATGGCGGCGCAACCGCTCCTGTGAACAAGTCCTGGAGCCACCTGTGCGACCTTGTAAAGGAAGACTGCTATTGTAAATTCGGAACTTTGGAGGAATGTATGGGACACAAAGCAGCTCCACACTTCATCAAACAGTCCTACGTTGGAATTGAGACCGCGCGCGAGGCGCTGGAGATGTGGTACAAGATGGTACCTGGAGGATCGAATTACCGCCACCTCTTCGCAAAGACGCTTTCTGAGGCAATCCGGCTACTCACTGCAGATGCTTTCAAAGTTGGTCTCAAACCTACAGCGGTACTGAGAGGACTGATTGTTGAAGTCCCCGTTAAGGACCTTGTTGCTAGCCCGGCCGAAGCGCAGGCCATGGTTGACCAATTACTTCGCATCGTTCACAAACGCGACTTCCACCTTTACATCCGACTGCCCCAGAGAAACATCCGACTCAACCTCTGGACCCCCATTTTTGAACTATTGCGACCCGTATTGACAGCTTTCAAGGAACACAGTCGGAACATACGCGTTCAATGGTTCTACCAACCAGACAGGACTTCGACTATAAAGTACGACCTCAACTCACATATCCGGGATCCCGGTGCGGAATGGAAGGAATATATGATAGAAAGTTTTTTCAAACCGCGACAACAGTGCCTCCAGGTCAGACACAGGGACTATCTGGTGGAAGACAATCCGGATTACGACCCTCAACATCACGAAGATACAACCAACAGAATGAACAACTGCTTCAGCAACGATCCAGAGACGGATTCAGAGGACGGATCTGACACTGGCTCAGATGATGGGTCTGATACTGGCCCCGACGAGGAAAGCCCGTATTGTAGTTCGGATGAGTCGTATGATTCAGATTGAGATGTAGAGACGGGGAAAGAGAGCGCGATAGCGGGGCTTGGTTTGGTGCCTAGCACTTTGATTTCATCTATTTTAGAGATGAGGGAACCTTCGTTTCCCTAGGCCACGGGAAAGCCAGAAGCAAAGTACGACCGATTTTAGTCTCATTGTTACTGTAGGACTACTTTGCGGCCATATCCTGAGATATGCCTCAAACAAGCTTACGTTTGATGAGAAGCGTCTGACTGCTGTCCGCCTTGAACATCATCCATCTCTTCACCGTCGCTTCCAGCATTCCCGTCGCTTCCATTATCATCACCCTCATCACTTTCCTCATCATCCTCTTCGTCTTCCTCGTCATCATCATCATAATGGTAGTAGGTGTTGCCAATGTAGCCAATGTGGCCACCGTGCTCGTCATCGTCGTCACTCGAGTAATGGTATCTTGCCCGCCGCAGGTGATCTCCGAGGGCCGTATTACAATCGGGGCACTGACAGACTCCTTCCTCATGCTTCAAAGTCCCTGTTTCCATGTACTCGCGCAGATAATCATGGGGCGGAGGGCCGTCATCTGTGCCAGAGTAATTGAGCGAATCCATGTAGGATTCATGGCGGTCTTCGAGTTCTTTTTGAGTGAGATACGCCTGGCTCTCTGGATTGAAATTTGGGCGATCCTCATCCCGGTACAGACGGTGCTCGTCTGGAATTCTGCGTCGCTGATGCGTGTGGTCAGCTGGGTGCGAAGTGCGAAGGTGAAGAAAAACAAACCGCATCAAAGAACGCTACTGCGTTCGCTTTCCATTCCTCCTCGGGCTGTGTCATAGCATCCAAGATGTCGTACGTTGCCACATCGTCACTCCTATTATAACCTCCCTTGTAGATAAAGGTGGCTTTCACGATCGCCCCTTCGTCCTTCATCACTCTCACCGGTTCTCGAAACGTGTCGAAAACCTCTTTCCAGAGGTTGAGCCTGATGTGACTGTGGCAGACTTCAATCTTGAACCGGAATCCCGATTTGTTTTGGATCTTCAAAAGAGGCTCGGTGATGAGTTCCCGGCGATGTTCTACACTCCTGATATCGCCCCAACCCTCTTTTCCCGGTTCCGGTGGAACGAAATCGTCCACATTCATGCTGATTTCCAGCTTTCTTATGAACTGGGCTGGTTCGCGTCCAATGTTGAAAGCGTCCTTGCAAATGATCTCCTGTACACCCTTGGCGGTCCACGCGTAGAGTAGCTTGTGGTGCTTGGTCGCTGCAATGTTGTACCATGACTCCACTAGTTCTGTCGCCATCTCTGATCCAACCAGCTCCGGGCGCACAAAGAATGGGAGACATAGATGATATGGACAGTTTAGGTTATTAGTGTTGAGGCACAGACGGCAGGTGCTGTTGATGGTATTGCGCATGTAAACGAGGCTTTCCTCAACGGTATGTTCGTCCCAGACCTGGGCCCAAATCATGTCCCGAACTTCACGAGGCAGATAGTGTTTTATCAGCATGTAGTTCGTTGTTGCGTAGGCCAAGAAGATAGGACCGCCTTCGCGGTGTAAAAGTCTGGTGGCAGAATTAGTGATTGCGCGAACGTGGAAGGGAAGCAGCTGCATGTACATTGGTTCTATTTGATTGCCGTGCAAGAACCACCATGGATGCTTCCAGTATAATTGATGAAGTTGAGTGTTGTAAAGCGTAAGCAATTTCTTGAAAAGAGGAAGCTGGTGTTCATCATTCAGACACCTAAGACACTAGTAAGCTTTTCTGTAAGTCGTTGCTACATGACTATAATGCTTACTCGGAGATTTTGGGGGCGTACACCTCGGGCGTTTGCATCTCAGTCGCCATGTTGGTACTTTTATGAGGACGATTGATGGTAGCAACGCATTCGAAGTTTGGCGCGATCAAGGGTTATATCCGTTCGCTCCAACGCCAAGACCACCCCTCACGACTATCATTTGGAAGGATGTTCAATCCGATTCCGATAGGAACACCCTTGTCTTGTGGATTGTAGCCACCTGCAAAAGCGGGACGTTGTCCAGGTATGGAGGTGCGCGACAAGGACATTCGATGCGATGACGAACGAATTACATCGGAAGGATCGTTCCTGCAGACGATCTTCTTATGCGAAGTAACGCATAAACGCCACTGACAACATGTGTGACCCTAGAAGAACAAGTCTATGAGAGAGTTAGGGCACGTAGCATGGTCCCAACGTTCGCGACTCATGTGTGCATGCACAGCACAAAGCCGAGCTAAGAGGTTGGCCCTGCTTTGTGCTACGCGACCGAGCTTTGGGTCAGCCTTACTTCCAATTGAGCATAGCATCAGCAACACGATTAATTGTTCAGTCAAGCTTCCTAGAAGGACATGATGTGTGATTCAAAGAGTTACGGCCCATCCATCTATATGCAGATGTAGATGCAGATGCGAATCGGAGCGACGACCAAAATCATATAAAGGTGAGCGTCCGACATACAGATTCACGTACACGCCGTGTACATGAGTAGAGCAGACCAAGTGAACAGACATGGAGTGTGCGACAGATCCTGAAGGAGCTCAAGAGGCCGTGAACAAGCTATACCAAGCCATAGAGCGGTCGAGGCAAGGTGCCACAGACCTGGCTGCCAGTGTTGCCAGCCTGGAGCTTCGCACCCTTTAGGCCAACATAGGCTTCGCGCCTGGCTGGATTGCCAACAGTGACACTCCAGGTCTTCAAGCCATAGTAGACCCCAATGTGGTGTACGAGCCAACGTCCGAAGCTGCCTCCAACGTCTTCCTCGGGTGTCTCAAAGAGCATGAGCTCCTTCTTAATAGCCTCAGCCTCTGTAGGCGAGCGGAGATCGTTCATCTGCCCGTTCCTTCCAACGAAGACGATCTCGTCGTCCTCGCTGTCCGGATCGGCAGGTAGGCCGTCTTGCTCTGCCTTGCGCTCCTTTTCTTCCCAGCCCTCTACGAACTTGCGCACTTCGCCTTCAAGGTCCATGAGCAGACCCTTGGCACCGCGCGATCGCTTCAGCTTCTCGCGCAGCTCCTTGGGCACGACACCGGGAGTCGTGGGCTTGTTGGCTACAGTCTTAGTCGCGGACTTTTGGGCGGCGGCGGCGGTCTTGCGTTCGTTGGACTGGCGCTTGAGGCCGGCGTCCCAGAGCGGAGCGAGATAGTAGGGTACATTCTTGGACGTGTAGGTAGGATGGACCTCCCAGTCCTTCGGCAGCGGAGGCTCAGCGTAGGGGTTGTTTAGGAGGCGATCTGGCTAGAAATCAATTGACGCGTACTTTGAACGATGAATTACTCGTAGTGCATGAGAAGATCAGGAGATGGTGTCGCGATGCGCAGAGCGTCTCCAGCGGAAAGGGGGGGGGGCAGACCCTCAACGTACCATTCTCCCAACGCTGCCTGCGCCTTGACCCCTCTTTGCCGCGGAGCAGGGCTTCACGCCTCTTCAAGCTGTCGCGACGGAGTGGTTCCTTGCGATGATAGTAGCCACCCTCCTTTGCAGCTGCCGAGGCACCTACGGGGTGGGCGGCAGCGGCAGGCGCATCGTGGTCGAGCGGTATCGCAAGCGTAACCGAGGTACCCTGAAGCGCATCACCAGGGGCGGATATAGCCACCGAGCTGAGCGCAACTGTTGCTTGCTCGGTCCACGCTTCGATGTCGATGGGCTGAGGCGGGGCAGCTGCCTGCTGAGGGCTTGAGGGAATATCGCCGACGGCCATTATGGTGGCGTTGAGGGTGCGAACTACGGGAGGCGTGGTAGGGATGGGCTTCAACAAAGGGAGATGCTACGAGATCGTAGTAGATAGATATCTGAACAGAGGACAAGGAGACAGAAGCTCTATTACCCACTGAGCATGTGTTTAGGGACAGATGGCGATAAAGGCCGCGGCGCGATAGGAGTCATTAGGTCATGGTCGTAGTTCGCGTCATGCTCGCCAGCCAATCAAGCCGCAAACGTGGGGCAAGCCACATACCTGTAGGTACCATACATGGATGGAGTAGGACAGCAAGAGTCACACGTCTACACGCAGTCATCTCTGCATTCAAGCAGGCCAAAAAGTGATGGAATAGCTGTTGATAGTCGCGGTCCCTTCAGGGATTACTCATGTGAGCTACGAAGCCGATGCAGCAGCTGTGTCACATGTGAATCGTCATTTATAGAGCTTCCTCCCTCGAATGCTTCCAACCGCTGTTAACTTCACAATTACGTTGAAGCTGAATCGGTCTAGACTGTCACTTGTCAGGACCATCATCATCACCGAAACTTGTGAATACATGGCCTAACGAGGCTGTACGATCATATATGACCATGAGCGCAACGAGCTGCTTCATCTTCCTGCTGATACACCCACGCGTCTTGAGGATGTCTGTTTCAATGTACCGCATGATTCAGACTCCGCTGTTACAGGAGCTTAGTGTACATAGCCTCGTTGTTTGAGTAAGATAAGCATGCACACCAGCCAAGTCTACGTCTCGTCTGCCCAGAACTTGCCAATGTCAGCTGGGGTTGTGATGTCGTTACGTTCAGCAAACTCCTTCCAATCCAGCGTTGGCTGATGCCATTTGCGAATCGAGACGAACAACTTCTTCGACGACCTGCGCTTCCCATTCGCACGACGTTTGACTTCCACGAGCGGCCAGTCCGTCTCTTGAATGTCTCCTCCCTTGCCCTGTATAGCTAGCTGTAGGCATTTCGTGTACCACTCCGGTAGTCCGTTGATCTCGACGTCTCTGATACCCCGCAGGGATGCCAGGCTTTCAAGACCGAACATGAACTTCCCAACGTCTTCAGGAATACTAGGCTTTACGACCTGCTGCCAGGTAGGGCGATCGCGCAGCATCCTCTTCATCTTATCTTGTGAGACGAGCTGGAAATCAACTTTCAGATCTTGTAAAAGAGACTTTTGGTCGGTGTCATCTGCATGCTCTTTCAGAATCTCGACAAGATACTCGAGTCTTGACCGCTGACGCTTAACCGCCCAGTGGCTATCGACATCGGGTATCACGTCGATGTGGATGCTTCGCAGGTTACGTAGTAGAGGGAGTCGATCGGGATGGCCGAGAGGTCCAAAGACGAACGGGCTCCGTAGCGACTTTGGCCACATGGAATTTCCATGTACAGTAAAGTTGTAGGTATTAGACCCATACATAACCGCTGGAACCATTAGTACACATCGATACGAGTCAACGGAAGACATACACTTGGTCTCATTGGAGACGAATTTACTCACTCGGAATAACTGTGTCTCGACCGTGAAATGGTTACAGCGGCGCACTTTTGTGTTTTTGTAGTATGGATTGCTTCCTATCTTGTATGAGATGTCTTCGTCCTTTCGGAAGGCATTTGTGGTCCAGTCGGGTTCGTTGCTACTCGACCATCCATACCGCTCGAATGTAATTTCCATGTTGTGTGGGATCAGAAACGAGTATACGTGGATTCGCAGTTCCGCGGGAAGATCGAGCAGGCGGAAGCCTATCATAGATGGTGATGAGTAGTTGCGAGACGTCTGCTCAGTGTCGTTGGCATGCTCGAATTCGTCCTGGAGAGTAATGACTTCCTTTCCCTTGTATGTCTCGTGTAGGAATTCGACTTCATCAGAGTCTGAGTCGGTATTAGAGGACGTCATTGTTTTGCTGTAACGACGACCTGTGGATGTTGAGATCGGGAGCGATGGTTTGAAATATTCGCAGGAGGCCGACAATTTGAAGTTGATCAGCTTATCGACTGAGCGGTACCTTGGTACTACACAGCAAAGGCTACCTACGCCAAGACCCAGTGTTCTAACGAACCCGCGACCTGGAGCGAAGTGATCTGGGGCGACTGCTGAAGGTTTATTTCTTGAAGACACGAGGAACGAGGAGAATGTTACCAGTGGTAGCGTGATATACACGACGGTAGAAGGCGCGGTGTTGGGGCGGCAATCCAGGCTGCAGGCTGCAGCGCCAAGATTTCCTGCATAACGGAAGCAAACGCGACTGCGCCGCAGGCAAAGGTACAGATGTTGACGCGAATCCCGGTATGCTTGTTACCGTGCAGAATAGGCCATTTTGCATTGTGCGTTCGAAGGCTATGCAGGGTTTCTCGACAACGAGGAAGCGTCGAAAGTACAATGGCGCTCAAGCGAGCGGACGGGAAGAGACGGGAGGAGATGACTGCGTGACGACAAATCCAGGATTTATCAGTGTTGGATTTATGAAGGGCACTCATTTATTGCAAGCACACTGTTCTGAACTGCAAGCGTCTGCATATGCGCCATCCATCATCTGCAAGTATGAGGCAAGGCTTGAGTCCAATGTGGACGCCATTGCTTGCAGTAGCTGCGATGCATATAGTCTCCGAGTATAGCATGACGGTCCAAGAAGAAACCACCTAGACAGCGCGTTGGCCATCTTATGCAGTCCCTGCGGTTTGTTCGTCGCGGGCCATCTCCTCTGCCAGCCATTCGGCCTCTTTCTGCATCTCGTCGTCGCTCCTGGGCTTGCGGCTATCATTGTCCACAGCAGGAAAGCGACTCTTTCTCTCTTCTTCAGCGAGACCTGCCCCGGCTGCCCTCTCCTTGTTGGCTAGCTGCTTACTGAGGTCTGCGTCCTCGCTCTCCATCATGGTGTATATAGCGTCTGTGCCGCCCTTCTCTTCTAGGTCGTCCTTCTTG